TTTTTTTAAAACATAGAACAATACACACCTTTATTACATGAGCTAAGCGCAGAGGGAAGGTTTATTTGCCTTTCCTGGCCTTGATTTTCCTCAGATAGAACTCCAGCTCCTTGCCATCTAGCATATAACCCTCTCTTTGGCCTGGTCTTGATGCAATGCAGGCAAGAAGTTGCCCTGCTGGAACTGATTCTCCAGAAGACTGCTGATTTTGGAGTCCTTTTTCCTTTCATAATAATTCTTTTGAATGTACTTTGATGGGTTTTTTTGCTTAAAATCTCTTCCTCCTCAGGAGTCAGCTTGGTCCCCTTCTTGCAGCCCAGGAGCAGTGTGTAGTAGGATTCCTACCACTGTAGGTACAGTGTGCCCACCGTCAGTGAGCACAGTGCAGTTCTTCCTGTGGATCAGTTCATTATTGGACGCCTTGTGAACAACGCCAATGATCCTTGTTCTTCAAGTACAACACTCAGAGCCCCACGAGGAGTTTCCCATATCCAGCCTGAGGGCTCGGTGTTTCTTGTTACCTCCTCAAACTCCCGAGTGTATTTGGTGGGGGCCAATCTTAGTGTTGGCAGCAGGGCACCCCAACATATACTTCTGCTTCTTGTGGTAGGGCTTTCTTTTGCCCTCGCTCTTGCCCTGAGAGATGCCCATCGCTCAGCGCCAGCTGGAAAGAGCATACTTTTTTTTTTTTTTAAGACAGGGTCTCACTATAGCCCAGGCTGGCCTTGAACTCATAGCGATCTTCCTGCCTCAGTTTCCCAGTTGCTGGGATTAGAAATGTGCACCACCAGGGCTGGGGATTTAGCTCAGCGGCATAAGTACCTGCCTTGCAAGCAGGCAGTCGTGAGTTCGATTCCTGGTACCAATAAAAACAAAAAAGACAAAAAAAAAAAAATGTGCACCACCATATGTGGCTTGGTGGAGGGGGCACATATTTGGAAACAGTTGCTGACGGTCTGTGGGTGGACTGGGAGGCAGTGTGCTGTTGTTTTTATTACCTCCCTTCATATGTTTAGAATACTTGTCAGGTCTCTGCAGAGTTTAAATTTGCAACCCTTTTTTCAAAAAGAGTTTTGGATACAGCTGAGTATGGTGGCACATGCCTATAATCCCAGCACCCTAACAGGCTGAGGCAGGAAGATTGAAAGTTCAAGTTGCCAATTTAGCAAGACTCTCAAAATAAAAAAAAATTTAAAAGGACTGGGGACATAGTTCATAGTGCAAATCCTCTGGGTTCAGTCCCCAGTATTGGGCAGGTGGGGGGTGTCAATTACATATTTCCAAAGTCATTTTCCTGAGAAACTTGATGATAATTTGGTTTGACCAAATTAGCAATTATTGAGCTCCTGTTGTATGCAGAGGCCAGAAGCAGCCAATGGAAATGAAGCTGACATGGTTATCAAACGGGAGACACCAGGTGGTTGAACCCTGGGTGTGTGAATTTGCCAAGGGAGGGTAAATAGTGCCCAAGAATAAAGGTCAGGGAAGATAAGGCCAACAAACTCTCCCTGTGGCTTCCTCTCCCTGGCCTCAGAAGAGTAGCGAGGATGGAGACAATGGCTGCAAAAGCTTTGGCTCTGAAGAGAGAGAGGGGTGGGCAATAGGCAGTAGAGCCTAGAACTATTCTTGAGGGTAGGGAGGAGAGGCTGAAAGAGCCAATGAGTGCAGTCCTGACAACTGAGCGATGGTAAACAGCACAGATGAGCTGCTCTGAATTGGAGGAGGGAGGGCAGGCCCTGCATGCCATTGGATTAGGGAAGGGAAGATGCAGAGAGGCTTGCAGACGTTATGGGAGGAAGGCCCAGCCAAGTAGCCTCCTTTCTCCAGGAATCAGCAGGTTATTCAGAGCCCTTTGAGGCCTTTCTGGGATATCTGATAAGGGAGTTTGTTGGAGTGAACTGTGTCCCACTCCCTCCAATTCTGAGGAACCTCAGCCTGTGAGAGTATTGGAGATAAGGTCTTTAAAGAGGTAAATAAGGAGCCTGGGTATGGTGGTGCACACTTGTAACCTCAGTACTCTGGGAGGCTGAGGTAGAAGAATCCAAATTCAAACCTAGTCTGGGCAACTCAATTGACTTAGTGAGATGCTGCTCCAAAATTTAAAAATTAAGGGTTGGGGATGTTGTTCCAAGTGAAGACCCTGGGTTCAGTCCCAAGCACTGGGGAGGAGGTAATTAATGTTAAATGAAGTCATATGGGTGGGGCCATAATCCGGTAGGTGTGGCATCCTTAACCAGCAAAAGAAATTGAATAGACACACAGAAAGGAAAGACCATGTGAGGACTGGGAGAAGGTGATCCTCTATAAGTCTGGAGAAACTTGATCTGCTAACACCTTGGTTTTGGACTTCCAGCCTCCAGAACTGTTAGAAAATAATTGCTGTTGTTGAATCGATCTATTTGAGATATTCTGTGATGGTGGGCTAGTAGGCTATGTGGTGTATATGTGGACTGTATGGTAGATTAATAGAGGGAGAGCAGGAGGAGGTAAGGAAAGAGGGAAGAGCTTTAAGAGGGTATCAACAGCTTGCACATCTCTTGGAATGCTGAGATATATATAAAAAGAAATACTTGTGTTAGCAAAGCAATTTCCACTCAGTGGACAGGCTCTGGATTTAAACAGACTGGAGTTTTAGATCCAGAAAGTCACATATTCTTCCTGAGTTTCAGACTTTTTATTTGTGAGGAGATAATAAAACCCACCTCACAGGGCTCTTTGAAAAGAAAATGAAATAAGATATGTAGAAACATTGAGCACACTACCCAGGAAAGATCAACTGGTATCACTATTTGGAAAGAAGCTGCATAATTAGACCCTATTATTCAGAATCACTCAGATAAGTTCTTGGGGAAAGGGAAGAGAATGAAAAGAGAAAACATCTTAGTGTTTTGCATGCATACTAAGTTCCTGCAGTGAATGTAATCATTGTGTTCTGCACATGTGTACTAATAAAAATAAAAATGTCTTTTAAAAAAAGATAAATTCCTGGGCCCTAAGTGTCTGCATCCACATCTGTGATTTGGTGAAGAACTGGAGAAAGGGGGGACATACTGGTTTACAGGTAAGACTGCACTAACTCTGGGGTAGGACTGCCATAACAAATAGGAAACTAAGGGCCAGGAGTTTAGCTCAGCAGCATAAGCGCCTGCCTGGCAAGGGTGAGGTCATGAATTCCATCCCTGGTACCAAAAAAAAAAAAAAAAAAAAAAAAAGGAGACTAAATGTGGAGAGACTAATCCATAATATGCTTACATCCAGCACTGGGCCTGGCATGCATCAGAGGCACTGGCATGCCAGGTGTGGTAGCACATGCCTGAATGTGATATAGGCACTCTGGGAGGCTGAGGCAGGAGGATCTCAAGTTCAAGTCCAGCCCAGGTAATTTAAGAAGACTATGTCTCAGAATAAAAGATAAAAAGGAAGTAGAGGTATAGCCCAGTATAAAGACCCTGGGTTAAATCCCCAGTATGTTTAAAAAAATATTAGTGAATACATGTATGAATAAAGAGATCAATGAACATTAACAAGACCAAACACATATAAGCATCTGTTGATAGATGTGCTAATCAACCCACTTAGGGCTATAAGTGAGAGAAACCAATTTGAACCAGCCTAAACTAAGAAATTAAAATCAATTTTTAAAATTTTTAAATGGGAAGGGTGTTTAATTGCTTGAAAACTGATAGGTCCAGAAGTCAACTTCAGGTGTGGCTGGATCCAGGGATAGAGATGTATACCCTGCAGGTTTCCTCCATCTACTCCAAGCAGTTGCAGAGGAGATGGAGCCTTCCCTTCCAACAGTCCCAACTTGAGTTGGGACTCTGAGCTGCCTAGCCAGGAACCAGATCATCTGCATTCAACCAGCACAGCTCCAGGGTCTGAAAATAGGCGAGGAACACTTTTCCAAAGGAAAAACAGGGAGCTTTTCTCAGGAGGATGAGACAGATTTCTAGGCAAGCACAGCCCACCTCAATGTCTCTGGAAAGGAGTCAGGTGACTAGGTGAGAGAAGCGTGCTACCTGGAGGACACATGGGTCACCAGAGTAGTGCTGGGCCAGATTAGGGCCACCTGGGATTTGAAGGAGGCAGGGATCTGTACCTGAGTGCCTGGCCAAGGGGTGATATAGTATGTTGCTTACAAAAATGGCCCTGATTCCCCAACCACCCCCACACCCTGTGCATGTGTTTTTGTAGAATGTCCTACTAAAAATGGAGCCTGCTTCCCTCCTCCTAGGATCTGAGGTGCTCGTGTTACTGGTGTGGATGATAGAATGTGATAGAGGAGATGGTGAGTCCTGAGCTACACTCAAAGGATCTTCAGCGTCATTGCTTGCATATTTTCTTGGACCCTGGCTATTCCGGTACAGGATGAGACAGCGTATAGGGCTATTCCAACTTTCTTTGTCAAGGCTCCAAACATGTGCAAGAGCCCCACATCCTCAATACAGCTTCTTAACAGACGACACTGACCGCAGCTCAGATCAGAACTGCCTTGTTGGCTTGACGCGGTGATGCACACAGTCCCAGAACTAGGGCGGTGGAGGCAGGAGGATCACTGTGAGTTTGAAGCCAGCCTCGGCTACTTGGTGAATTCAAGGCCAGCCTGAATTGCATAGTGAGATCCAGTCTCAAAAAACAAAATGAAAAAGAATTGCCTTGTTGACTCATAGATTTGTGATTCATTGTAAGCCACTAAATTTGGGGATGGTTTGTTATACACTGCTGGAGGAAATAAGTAACAAACAGATACAAGCCAATTTAGGAAAAGCCTTAGTGAGTGCTCTGGCTGGGTCTCCTAGAGGGGCAGTTTTTAACACTCAGGAAGATGCCATTGGGGCTGGCTGGGCCTGAGGATCATGCCTGGTGGTATATATACTTCCTGGTGCTCTCACACAGGGATTTTAATGGACCTAACATGTTTCACGGAGACATAGGCATTAGAAACTCATAGAAACCATCCAGCAGGAGCTTCAGGGGAGAAGTACATTCTGACATTCAGATTTCTCCTTGAAGTATGATTTTCATTTAGACATTTTTACATGGAGTTGTGAGGAGGGAACAAAGAATGTACATACATGGACTCAGAGGAAGACTGTGGAAGATAGGAAAGAACCAAATGGGCCCAAAATTCTGCCCAGAAATAACACTAGTCATTTGGTTGGGATGGGAAGGAAAAAAACATCCAAGAGAAAACTTGGAAAACAAGTTGTCCTTGCTCCTTATTCATTTCTCCACTTGATTTTGGCATCCAGGCGACTCCTTTATCTGCCTCCAGACACAGAAAGTGGCCCCTAAGATTCCAGTCATATACTACATCGCATCATCTGCTCCCATGTCTGTCCTGCTCACACAACCTGCTTCAGGGACTGTCTTTACCACCCATCCAGCTAAGAATCCTGACAACCAGCCACCAAGTCCTGCTCATCTGCCACCTAAACCCCTTGTGCTCTCTGCAATCTCCTTAATGATCCTCTTCCTGCTCCATGCCTCTCCTGATCTAAACACCTGTAAAGTGAGTCTGAGTTCATCCATTGGCTCAAAACCTCAATTCTTGGGTGCTGGGATGTAGCTCACTGGTACAGTGCTTGGCTGGCACGTGCAAAGCTCTGAGTTCTATCCCCAGCCCAGCAAAACAAAACTGCATTTTTAGTCTGCAGTCTGATGTAATAGATCTTTCTACTTCAGTTTTTCCCTAAATTTTTCGCTGAAGGCTTTCCCCCTTTCCCCCTCTCAGCTGCTTCCAAGACTCAGGCCTGAAACTAGGCGTGGTGGTGTATGCCTGTAATGCATGCCAAGGCAGGTGATCACCACAAATTCAAGGTCAGCCAGGGCTACAGAGTGAGTTCCAGGCCAGCCTGAACTACATAGGGAGACTTTGTCTCAAAAACAAAAACAAACACCCCAAACAGACTCCGTTTGGCTGTCCTAGGATGCCAGATTGCATGCTTTTCTGCCTTCTTGGCTGGACAAGGGGCCTCCGGGTGCTAGCTTGGTGGGCGAACATGTTCCTGGCTCATCTACTAGGAGGGCCACTCCAAGCAGGCTCAGAAAGCAGGCGAGCTACATTCCCTTAGTAGCCAATCCGCAGCCCACCGTCCCCGGGGCACACAGAAGCACTTTATTCCACTTTCCAGGAACCTGCCCGGGAAGCCTGCAGGACACAGCAGGACTGGGGTCGTGGATCCCCAGGGTGGGCTCCCCCAGCTCTTGCAACCCACAGACACACCGGGGCTTGTGGAGGCCCTGGTGGCTGAGGTAGCTAGAGATGTGTGCGGCGCCCAGCCCACGGCCAGAGGTATTGCTCCGCAGATCAGCACCCCGGACCTCGACGGCGTCCCCGCCGCCCTCTCCGGCAGCATTGGTCTCTTCACTCAGGCCGCAGAGGACGCGGCGTGGCCGCCGTCACCAGGCCAGGGGAGAAGTCATCCCGGAGCTGCGTGGACCCTCCCCGGCCTGCAGATCGCTGAGTGCTCGCTGCAGGCGGGAACACAATGAGGGGCGGGCAGTCAGGGTCCCAGGAGCAGCCTTGGACCCCTGTCTTGCCTTCTCCTCCCATCCCAAAGTACCAGCATTGAGGTTATTTACTGGGATTGTTTGCTAGTCCAGCTTTTAGGAGAACGCCCTTTTGGGAACTCTGGCCTTGATCTCCCTAAGAGTTTCTCCTCTAAGCCTCTCCCATGGCTCACCTCGAACTTGCTCATGAACTCCGAAAAGATACCGAAGAAAGCCTCAGAGGTGGTGGCCTTGGAATCCTCCCCGAAGAAGGCCAATGCTTTGCCCAGCTCCTCCATGGCTTCATGCTGCAGCCCATCAAGGGCCCGAAGTGCAGGCTGGGCCGTCTCCAGGAAGGACTGCAGGGCCGTGGTTAAGGAAAGGGCCAGCCTCCCATGCACCCTATGTGTGTATATGTGGAAGGAGGGTACTGGGGATTGAACCCATGGCCTTCACACTAGGTTACATTTTCAGCTCATTTTTCATTTAATTTTGAGATGAGAGGGGCTAGGGATATAGTTCAATGGCATAGTGCCTGTCTGGTAAGCGCAAGGTCCTGAGTTCGATTCCAGTAACTTTCTTTAAAAAAATATTTTTAAGATGAAGTATTACTAAATTGCTCAGGCTGGGATTGAATTTGGGATCTTTCTGCCTCAGCTCCCTGAGGGTGGTGTAGAAGGGCAAGTACAGTGGCCAACATCTGTAATCCCAGCACTCAGGAGGCCAAGGTAGGAGGATTGTCTTAAGTTCAAGGTCAGTCTGGGACACACAGTAAATTCAAGGCCTGAGCTTCAAGGCCTGCATATTGAGACCCTGTCTCAAAAACGAAACAAAACAAAACACCCTAGAAGATGATGTGCACCAGCATGCCCAGCTTGAGTAAGAATTTAAGCGGAGGCTGTCTGATCAGTCAGCTCAAGTCCCTCTGCAGCTGCTGCCCGCCCTTGAATGGCCATGCATTATCTCTCCGAAGACCTCCTCCTGAACCCACGAAAGCAGGGAGGGCTCCCTTGGACTGAGTGGTGCTAGAGTGCAGAATGTTAGCCCCTACCTGAATAGCCTGGGTCTACACAGCTAAAAATCTGGGTGTTGGGGGGGCAGTGAATAAGTGATCTTTTCTTGCTTGATAGGAAAGGGGCAGAATCTGATGTCAAATTTCTGCTTTGGGTTGGGGCTGAAATCAGTGGTAGAACACTTCCATAGCATGTAGAAGGCAGTGAATTCTATACATAGCACTGAAAAAACAACCAAAACATCTGCCTGAGTATTCAGCCTCTGCAAGCATTATACACTGGTGTTAGGGACACACGACAGGTGCTTTCCAGGTGGAGCACCTGGATGTAGGCACAGTCCTCAGAGTCCTCCTCCTTGTCTAGATCTAGCATCATCAGGAAAAAAGCCCTGTTTCTCTTCCAAGGAGTACTGGGATCCCAGAAGGGGACAGGGAGAAGTGCCACACGCCCTTGTGTCCTATCCTCCCCATCTAGACTTGTCTCCTCCTCTATTGTTGATTTGAGTTATCCAAAAATAGATCTGGCCTCAGTTACCCAGATTTGGCATAAGCACTGAGTCTAAATAACCCAGGATGGCCGGGCTTGGTGGTGCACACCTATAATTGCAGCACTCTAGAAGGCTGAAACAGGAAGATTGCAAGTTTGAGCCCAACCAGAGCAATTTAGTGACTTAGTGAGACCTTGCTTCAAAATAAAAAAGGACTCAGTATGAAGACTCTGGGTTTAATCCCTAGTACTGGGAGGAAAAGAAGACCTGGGATAGAACCATTTTTTCCAAGACAGCTTGGACACATAACAGCCTGTTTCCAGACTCTCTACAGGTGTCTTCAGTGTCCAGTGGAGCCTCATCCAGCTCTATCTAACCACCCATGGGTCCCGTGTGGGGCTCAGAGGATACTGCCATGACCACAGCAAACCTGTCCTCACTGGAAGGAGACATGCTCTGGCAGGCAGCCTGTATCTCACTGATGGTACCATGGAGGTCAGCCAGGTCACCAGTCAGGGCACGTTGGTTCACTGTATGGAAGGGGATCAAAGCCTCATGGGCCCACATTCCCAGGCCAGGACAACCTGCCATCCTACTCATCCACCCAGCTTACCTTTGGCAGCCAAGGGTACGGTGGGGAGGTCCTGAGCAAAGCCCAGAAGTTCGGGAAAGTGCTGGCTCAGTGATTTGGCAAGGATGTGCAGAAAGGTGGACTTCCCATCCACTGTCTTGGTGGAGTTCAGCTGCAAGTGACCCCCAACACACATGTTCGAGAATCCCGTCAGACTCCTGGGTACATGGTCCCAGCTTTTCCTGGGTTCTGGCACAAATTATTGGTCCTTTTTTTTTCTTTTTGGCAATCCTGGGAATTGAAGCCAGGACCTGCACACTGAGCCACTTCCCCGGTTCATTTTTATTTTGCAATTGGATCTCACTAAATTGTTAAGTTGTCAGGCTGGGCTGGAACTGGTGCTCCTTATGCCTCAACCTCCCAGAGTTGTGGGATTACAAGTGCCACCATCATGCCTGGCTCAATTTCTGGTCTTTGACACTTCTAATCTCCTTCCCCACCCCACTTTTTCAGATTGTGAGGTTTAGCTGAGAAGCCACCTTTACCATCCTTTTCTCCACCCTTGCTGCAGTCACATCCTGGTCTCTTGCAGCCAGCTTTGCCCCTGGGAGGAGGGCCCTCCATAGTCACTTATTCTCTCCCTCAATCTGTCCCAAATTGAGTTAGGCTTGGCCTTCAAGCCTTAGGTACCTTCAGCTCACCTCTGTCAGAAAGTTGATCTTGAAGCCTGTGGTCTTGTTGGTTTTGGGTTGGCTGTCATTGAGATAGTTGCCCATGGCCAACACAAACTGGAAAGGAAGGTGGGTGGATGGTGCCCAGGTGTTCACAGAGACCCCCCACCCATCCACCTCAATCCGGGTATCAGGATGAGTCTTCAGGCTGGAAGCCCCAGGACAGAAGAGTGGATGAGGTGACAAAGGAAGGGATGCACCCTGACCTCTAGGATCTTGGCGAGCTTCCGGCTGTTCTTGAGCTCCAGGGATGCCTGTCGCAAGCACTCCAGACTGCCTCGGATCTCCTCTGTCTTCTCCTGCAGGGTGGCCTGGAAGTGGAGGCTTCGCAGGCGGGTCTTGTATTCAGGGACTGACAGCATCTGCCACAAAGGCAGGACCAGGATTCATCCATCCCCCACCAGCCTGGTGGGGGCTCTGCTGGGTGCCTGGGCCTGGTACACCTTTAGGAAGAGTAAGTCTGGTCTCTAGGGGACGCTGTCACCCTATCTACTTTGTCCCTTAATTTGGTTATTTAAATTGTTAAACTAACTGGGTGTGGTGGCAAATATCTGTAATCCTAGCATTCTGGTAAACTAAAGCAGAAAGATTGAAATTTCGAGCACGGACTGAGCAATTTGGCGATTCAATGAGACCTTGCCTCAAAATTAAAAATAAAAGGTCGGGGAAGTGAGGTGTAGCCCAGTGCCAAAGCCCTGTGTTCAATGCCCAATGCTGGAAAACAAAAACAAAAACAAAAACAAAAAAAACAAAAAAACCCAAATACGTTAAACTGAAACTCAGGCCTGAGGGCGGGAGCAGTACCGAGCCGAGGGAACGCGAAACACAGGCAGCCTTGGCCACAGCGGTAGCCCTGACGGAGGCGGGGTCGCGGGCGCGGCACCTGCAGGACAAACTGGTCAGGCTCACTGAGGCGGCCAGGAGCCTCGCGGAAGGCCTGGTAGCGCTGCTCCTCGTCGGCGTCGGGCGCGAAGAGCAGCAGCTGCGCCAGATGTGCGGGCTCCAGGCGCCGGGGCTCCATGCTCATAAGGACCTGTCGCAGCTCCGCTGGGCTGAGCTTCAGGTGCGCCAGGAGGATAGCTGTGGGCGGGGCCGTGAGTGAGTGGGGCGGGGCCTCTCATGGGGCGGGGCCAATAGGCGGGACCAGCAGAGACGCCGGGCGTCGTAGAGGCGGATCCCGGGGAGAGGGCGGGGCTTCGGGGGCGGGGCTACCGAGTGGAACCCAGCGAGAGGGCTGCGGACAGGAGGCGGGGCCTGCTAGAGGCGAGGCGGGGACGGGGTAGTACCAAAGCCCTTCAGAGACTAAAAGGGTCCTAAATTTTAGTCGTGATACTGGAGAGTGAACCCAGGGCCTTGTGCACTCAAAGCAAGAAGAAGCTACCACTGAGTCACATCCCCAGCCTTAGAGAACTAAGAAACTAGTCGAGGCCAGAGCCTAGGAAGAGGTCTTCAAGGAGCAGAGGATGTGGCTGGAGGTGGGGCCAACTGGGGAAACAACTGCATGGCCAGGGCAGGGTGGAGCCCAGGCCCACACCTCCATCCAGGTGGGATTCCAGTAGCTACAAGGTTAGGAGGGCCTTCAGACCTCCAGGCGACGTGTCCAGGATTCCACAGCCTAATCTGTCATCCACCCAGATGGGTGCAGAGGCACCACCCGCCCCTAGAATCCCTAGGATCCTTTGGCCTCTTACAGGTGTTATAGGCCTTCTTGTGGGACAGGATCTCCACCACTTCCTTCTTCCTGAAGGGCTCTGGCCCGGGCACAGGCTCTGGAAGGGAAACGAGACGTTTAGCACTTCGGTTTGGATTTGGGACTGTCTGGGCTCAGAAGTGTGGCCTCAACCAGTGGCCAAGGATCCCTTCTCCTCCAAGCATCACCTTGTCTGATAACAGCTCTAATGTCCAGACCTCCCCATTCTTCAGCATCCCACCTGTGGATGCCTAGGTCTTGTACAATGTACTTAATGGGAGAGGAGTCCCTGCCCCTACTGCCACCTTTCTCTTCCCTGGGCCCTGGAGACTGAGCTGGCAAAGTAATGAAAACCAACTGTCTCTTGACCTTTTAGATGATTCTTCAATGGACGAGCTTTTCTCCTTCATACTGAGACCACTGACTACATATAATAACCCTGGTGGCTTGGCATCCTACCCAACCACTCTAGAGAGATACTCAGAAGGGGCGGAGGGGGAGGAAGGAGACTGGAAGAGGTATCTGTAGATGGCTTGCATTCACCCTATTCTGGTTGTGTGACTGTAAGCAAGTTACCCAACCTCTCTGTGTCCTCATTAGGAAGTGGAGGTGATCTTAGAATCTACCAGTAGAGTCCTCAAGGGATTAATTTAGAAGTGAGAGCATCTGGCATTTGGTAAGCACACTAAACAACTGCCAGTCATTATTACAACCTCCACTTTGAATGGGAAAAAACTAAGAAAGGGCTTAAAGGCTCGGAGATATATTAGGTAAATACCAGTCAGGGCAACCCTTGGGGGATCTTAAGTCAGAGGATGGCATAGATCATGGTATTTGGACTTTCTCTAGGGCCTGATAGGAAGCCACTCACTGACAGGTTTCTGGGTGCCAAAGTGGAGTTCCAGGTCGAGGTATTTCACCATGTCACTCAGCTTATCATAGTCCGAGTCTTCCCCGAGCTGTGAGAGAGCATGGGAAGCTCAGAGTTGAAGAAACAACAACAGCTAAACCACCCTCTCCTACCCAATCCCCTCTGAGGATTGTCCTGGGAGGTTCTGGAAAGAGGGTACTCATCAAACCCAGGGATGAAGCTGAGTAGGAGAAGACTGCAGAAGAAGCTAAAATCATCCAAGTTATCAGGCAAGGAACTGGCTTCCCTTGCAGTCAATAATGCAGCCAATCTTGGAACCCTATCCATGCAGAAGCAGGCTGCAGAGCTGGGCAGGGGCTGGAGGCAACCAAAGGGGCCAAAGAGGGTGGCTGAGAGGTCTGGCCCTGTTTGGAGCCTCCTTTGCAGGCCTCCTGTGCAGCCTGGATAAGGATAGCCTGGGACCAGAAAAAGGCTGATCCAAAACCAGGTTGATGGGGGTCGCCTCAGGCAAAGGATGGGATCATCTGTGAGCAGAGCTGGCATTGGAGGATCTGCAGCAGGGAAAGCCAGGAGCCAGAAGCTGGGCAGGTGACTGACATAGTCTAGGTGACAATCTGGAATGGCCATCTAGAGTTTGGACAAGGATGAAGATGGGGAAACTACTAAGTGAGAGATCAAAAAGGGAAAACAGGGTGAGAAAGTCTATGAACATGTCTACAGGGCAGGGAGGTGTGGTGTGGATTTTGGATGTGGCCAGATGTGTGACCTGTATCCCTGTGTCTGGTAGTGGGACCACAACACTATGAAGCAAAGCATGAAGACTCGTCTGAATCTCACAGAAGGTCTCCAGGGGACCCAGGTTGTGGCTCTCTGTTCTTTATCAAAGGAGGTAACAACTCTGTTCTCTGCTCAAGCCCCCTGGGAATTCTCTTTGGGGCTTGCTCATTGACACAGTACTAGAAAACACATTCTAATGACCCAAAGAACAGTTCTGAGGTATATCTTCATTTCACAGATTGGTCAGTGGTGGGTAAGGAATATGGTTGTTCTGCTTGATTTTAAGGGTAAGGCAGAAAACAGGACATAGGAATCTTGGGGAGACAAGACTTCAGAGCAATACAAAGAAGGATGGTTAAAGTTATCCAGTGAGGGATGGAAGGTCTTGACAGCTAATGAGTTCCCCATCTCTGAAGATACTCAAGCAAGGAATGGTAGTATCGTGTGGGAGGTGACTCAAGCATTGAAGTGGAAAAGTAAGAACTATATGCAGTTTAGATCAGCTGTCCTTTTAAGAGTCTAAAGAATTAATCTGGCCTCAAGAATGTGGCATTTCCAGATGTCCCAGTGTCTCTGGGTTAGGGATGCAGACTGGCTTCAATGCCTGCATAGATCAGCAAGGGTGGATATGCCCTGGGTCTGGGCTGCTACTCCTCTGAGCGGATGGGGAGGACCAGGGAATGTTCCAGCTGATGGCTTTGTCTTCATTGCTGCTGCCCAGGCTGCCCACTTCAAATCAGGGCCCTCATGGGCTCCCGGTCACTTACCTGCCCCCAGATGGTGCCTTCTGAGTTCTCCACCTGTTCCCACCGCAAGCGCTTGACACTCATGTGGCTAGTCTCACTGCGCCGGTGACCCAGACCCCGGGATAGCATGGGGGGTGCGCAGGGTACAGGTGGGGGCAAGGGGGGTGGGGGTGGGGGCGGAACTGGGTGACTGAGTTGGGTAAGCGGCTTAGCCAGGGCCTGAGCAGGGCCCCGGGAAGGCTCTGAGGTGCGGGAGTTCGGCTTGGGGTCGTGGAAAGGTAGGGGCGGGGGTGGTGGGGGGCTGAGTGGTGGCGGTGGGATGTGGTCCGAGATGGAGGAGTAGGTCAGGGAGCTGCCCTCTTCGCTGCTGCTGATACACTCGCTAGCGCTGCTTCGCTCATTGGTGACAAAACTGCCCTGGTCATCGTGGAAGCTCATCTAGAAGGAGATCAAATGAAGGCAGGGCATGGCTGTGCAAAGAGTCTGGAGCAGGCTGGAGGGGGTAAGATGCTGGGCAAGGGAGAGAGAGGGGATAGTCTGGGGCCAGGGGAAGACAGTATGGTGAGTTTGCCTGAAACTGCAGGTGGGAGAGTCTGGGAGGGTGGAGGATATCCCGGGACATGGAGCAGACTGATCCAAGCCAGGTTGATGGGGTAGTCTCAGGCAAAGGATGGGATCCTCTGAGAAAAGGGTGGCTCAGCCTGAGGCTGTAAGTGGGTAGCCTGGGCCGAGGAAGGGGTAACTTGACACACACTGTATATGGGAAGCTTTAGGCAAAGGGCAGGCTAGCCTCTAAAATGGAATGGGGTACCCTGGAGGAAGCCTTGGGGTAGCTCCACTCAGGCACTGAGGTAGTCTGAGACAAACTGTAGGATGAATGGGAGAAGGCAGGGAGTTAGCACAAGGTAAATCTGGAGGGAAGAAAGGTCCACCCCCAGGGATGGAATCTTCCACACTGAGCTATGTCCTCAAGCCTTTTTACTTTTTATTTTGAGACAGGGCCTCACTAAGTTACTAGGTGGCCCAGGCTGGGCTTGAACGTGCAATTGTTCTGCATCAGCCTCCCAGAATGCTAGGATTACAGTTGTTCACCATCATGCTCAGGTCTGCAACAGGCCTCTTATAGAAGTGGCAACACTTTTCCCTAACAGAGTCCCACCCCTGTGTGCATGCCCACCTCCTCGTAGTCATTCTCAGGCGTTAGGAAATCATCCACGATGGTAACCCGGGGGCCCAACTGCTCGCTCAGCACATCTAGGAAGCGATCTGTATCCCGGCTCCGAGTAGGGTGTGCAAAGGTGAAGAGCTTCCTGCGGCTGGATGGCCGGGCCAGGTCCGGACTTGGGGGGCTGTCAGGGCAGGTGGGCCCAGGGCCTGGCTGAGGGGAGGGTGCCCTGCTGCTGTCCAGGCTGGCGTAGGGGTGAGATTCAGAGCTGCTGGGGGAGGCCAGACCCCCTGAGCACAGCGGGTCGTAGCAGGGAGAGGGCAAGAGCCGCTCACTGGGCCATGAGATGTTGGACAGGGTCCTGGATGCTGTGTAGGAGATGTGGGAAATGCAATGTGAGGACCTCGGTTACCCAACACCTGGGTTCTTGGAGCAGACTGGAAGGGAGGACCCGGAATGGGTAGTCTCTGGGTACTGGACATTATCCTTTCCCTCCCCAGGAATGGCACAGAAGACCCTAGGTGACCTTGCCACCCATCATCTTCCCTAAGGGTGGCTAGTGAACAGAACTAGTGGCAGGGAGAGTACCACCTAATCAGGTCAGACTCTAGCTCCTCTGGGAACAAATCCCAGAAATCTTACCAGGGACCCATTTGAAAGGAGTGAAGGGCTTTTTCTAGGCCCCTAGAATAAGAAGTAGGAGGCACCTAGAAAGAATCTTCCTACCTGGGCCACTTATGGAGCACTGCATGCACTTCATAGTTTATCCAAGAGACACCAGCTAACTCAGACACTTCCTTGGGGGCAGTTCTCTGCTTTTCCAGATTGATAGCTGGGGTGAGGACTACCAGGGCTGGGACAAGCCTGGCCACGGTGACTCCTATCCATGCATGGAGGTCTCTAAGGTCCTTCATAACCCAGTCTCATGGCCATAGAGCAGAGGCAGCTCCAGGACTATGCCCAGGGGTGGGGATGACACTCAGACAAACAACTATAAAGACTGAGGCCAGTGCACCCTGAGGACCCAAGGCTGGCTGAGCCCTTACCTGTGCCCACCAGGCTGGGGACTGGGGGGGAGGCCCGGGATTTGGACACAGTCCCCATCTTCCCCTTGAAGCTGCTGTTCAATCGAGACTCCAGCTCTGCATAAACAGCTGACATCTAGGGGAGGGGTAGGTGAGTCCAGTCAGCTCTCATTACCCCCATGTCACCCCAGCAGGGCCTCAGAGGCCACGTCTGGGTGTTTGGCTCAGGTCTGAAGTAGCCACGAGGGTAATCTGGCCTGGGGTGGGTAATGGGCCACCCAGTCCCTACCCCATACTGATGCCACCTAGCAGGAAGGAAGGAGGTCTCACCATCTTGGGGTTGGGAGTCTCAGGGAGGGATGTGCCATCACCAGCCTGGCGCTCGCCTGGGATCAGAGGAAGAGGCATCTCAGGGCAGTCACTGGGATCTGCCAGGAGAGTATCATGGAGATCTAGTTACCACATCTGAGCTTTTTTTTTTTTCTCCCTTTGTGGTCTCAGGGATTTAACACAGGGCCTTGTACTGAGCTACGTCCCAGCACTCCTCCCTGTTTTAGATAGGATCTTGCTAAATCACTAAATTACTTAGGCTGGGAATGAACATGTGACTCTCCCACCTCAGTCTCCCAGTGCTAGGATTACAGGTGTGTGCCACCATGTCTATAAACTTCTTCATTTGAGCCCAGAGGGTCCAGACCCAACAAGCCCTGCAGACCCAAAGAGGCCACTGTTCAGCCCTGCTGACTCCTAATCCCTTTGATTTCTCATCTCACCAAGCCAATTTTAGAGGTGGGAAGCCTGAGCCCCAGTCCTACCTCCCACTTGCCGTATTTTCCATCAGGGCCTTACCGCAGCTGAGGCTGGCCTCCAGGCCCTGCGATCTGAGGCTGCGGCGGCACATGGAGGAGGCCCTCAGGGAGCTCCGTGGCTGGGGCTCGGGTGTCGGCTCCGGCTCCAGCTCAGGTTCAGGCTCTAGATCCAGCTCAGGCTCAGGCTCTGCTGGGGGACATGGCAGGGCGATGGAACACTTGTCCTCTGCTTCCACAAGCAAGGAGTGTGAGGGCAGAAGTCATCTGCAGCAACAGTGAGTCCTTCCCTGCTAGTGCGCAGGACGTCTCTCTTGGGGAAATGCAGGGACCAGAAACCAGGAACCTAGGGGGTGGGGGCCCCAGCTCAAGGGGGTGGCCCCAGTCCTCTTCCCCAAGGTTCCTCTCAAGACTCCATGTTTCCAAGGTCCTAATGCCCAGTGCTGGATCAAGCTTGTCACTGCTACTTAGTGGATCTTGTTGGGCAAAATGAAAGGTTCTAGGCCTAAGCAGATGTGTGGGACGTGTTCTGCTCAGCTTGGACCCTAAGCTTCTTACTGAAGCCCTCACTCTGTTTAGAAAACTGTGAGCACCCAGGACTAGCAACACTGAGCTCCAAGGGCCAGTGAACAGCAGCCCTGCAGGAACTGCCATAGCAGGTGTAGCGTGCCAGTGCAGTAAATTCACGAGATTTAACATCACTTCCTTTCACCAGGTGTCAACATGAAGGGTGTGAGGGTTTCTTGTTGGGCACCTCTCACTGGGAGGCAGCACGTGTGTGTGTTGTGTACTGAAGCCCAACACCCGCCATGGCCCGACCACGTGGTCAGGATCTAGGTGGTATGAGGGCTGGTGTATCTATAAACAGTGATCGTATGAATTTTCTTTTTCCTTTTGTCCTTTTTCTATTTTCCTCTTTATTCCTTTCTTTCTTTTGAAAGGGGGTCTCGCTGTGTAGTTTGGGCAGGCCTTGAACTTGCTATGTAGCCCAGGCTGGCCTCAAACTCATGGTGCTCCTCCTTCCTAAATCTCCCAAGTGGTGGGATTACACACATGCATCATCATGCCTGCCCAGCCTTCCTTTTAGTTTTTATTTTGTGACAGGGTTTCATTGAGTAATTAAGTTACAAACCTGCCTGGAACTCACAACCCTCCTGTGTTAGCCTTCCAGAGTGCTGGCATCAATGTGAATTTCTCCATCCATTGCATACTTGCCAGGGTACCCAGTGAAGCCATTGAGGTTACTCTTATTTTGTGTTTGAGTCTCCTGAGGCCCCAGGAGGTGAGCAGGGAGTCTAAAGTTTCAGATTATGCTGCATGGAGGTCAGGCTGTGTAGGCAATCCTCAAGCATGGACCAAACCCCAGGGTGCTGACTGTGTATCTGCCTGACACGTGGGCACATATATCATGGGAGGGGCAGGGTCAACTTTGAGACCTCACAGGTAAGAGTGGGTGTCTGTTTACCTGCCGGGGAGCAGCTGGCAGACACCTGAAGAGGAGGGGGTAGGGGAAAGGGACACTTACCTGTCATGGCTGTGTAGCCCAGGAAGCATGCAATCTTCTCCTGGCAGAGCTCCTGCTCCTCATAGGTCAGCAGCTGGTAGATGAACTGCCAAAGCACCTGTTTGGCAGGTGTGTCCAGCACTGGGTAGACATCAACGATGAGGGTGTCGATGTTCCTAAGGGAGGGTATAGGAGCAAGGGGCTTGAATCAGGGGTGTTGTGGTAGTGTTGGCAGTAGGTGAAGTAGCACTTCCAGGCCACAGATTTAGCTTGTGCTTTGACCTTGAAAGAGTGCAATGGACTGGCAGACTCTGAGAATAGGCTACTTAGCTTTAAGTACCAGCTATGCCATTTACTAGCTAAGAGACCTTTCTTAAGTTTCTGTGTTTCAGTTTCTTCATCCATCAAATGGGAATAAAAATAGCATCAATCACATAAAGCTGTTATAAAGATTAAAACATAAAAAATGCTTTGGGAAAATGGACTCACTGTATCATGGACTAGCAGATGATGGTCTGGGGGCTAAAATCTGGCTCATTACCTGTTTTTCATCTGTTTGTTTTGTGATAAGGTCTCACTTGAACTCACTATGTAGGCCAGGCTGGCCTCTAACTTGTAGCAGTCCTCTAGCTCAGCTTCCCAGGTACAGGTATGCACCATTACACCCAGATAGAAAATGATGTTGTTGTTTATTTTTTATCTTTGGCTGTTTTCTAGCTACTATTGCAGAGTTGAGTAGTTATGATGAAGGCCTATATGGACCATGAAGTCTGAAATATTTACTACAGTATTTGGTCCTTCATAGAAATATATTGCTGACTCCTATAATCTATGGAAAATAAAACTGGATTTTTTTTCTTTTTTGAGACAGTCTTGCTATGTATTTCAGGATGGTCTTGAACTCATTTTAGCCTAGGCAGGCCTCGAACTTGCAGCAATTCTCCTGGCTCAGCCTCCCAAATTCTGGGATTACAGGCATGCACCACCATGCCTGGATCTTTACCAACACCACACATAGAAGTGAACTCTAGTTGGATGGAATTATAAAATTAAGAGAGTATTTTTTCCTAGAAGCAGAAAAGGACTTAAAATTTCACAAACTGAAACTATAAGACCAAAAATGTAGTGAGTTTGATTATACAAAGTAAATGACATTTTCCCAAAGAAGTACTACCTAGACAAATTAATATTAGACACAAACAGAAGCAACAGAAATAACAAAAGTGATAAGGTATTTACAATGTCCAAAATCAAGGAGCTGGGTGTAGTGGTGTATGCCTGTGATCCCAGCATTCTTGGAGGCTGAAGCAGAAGACTACATGTCTGAACCCACTCTGAGTAACTCAGTGAGACTCTGCCTTAAAATTTAAAAGCAAGCAAACAAGTCTGGGGGTATAGCTCAGTGTGAAGATGCTGGGTTCAATTTCCTGTCCCCTGCCCCTGGCAAAAGACTACTAAAAATAAAAAGATGGATAGTGCTGCAATGGATGGGGATTTTGGACACCGATCTAAATGCAGACAGAGTTAAACTCATAGTACTTGGTGGAAAAGTCAGACACAGCAGCAAATGCGACAATGTAATAATAATATAATGATATAAAAGAAAAATACCTCATACTTTACAAGAACACCTTCAAACAAACAAATCCCCAGGAAACTTACCAGACTAGTGGAGAGAAATGGGAGAGAAACTACACCCCAAATGCATCACTGGACAAATAGGTGAACAAAATGTAGTACAGCCATACAATGGGATATATAAGGGAATGGAGTACATGGTACAACTCAGATAAACCTTGAACATATGCTAAACAAAGAGAAACAAATAGAAAAAGAAAATATGATGCTGAGTGAAAGAATCCAGGCATCAAAGTCCATATATTATATGATTTCATTCATATGAAAATCAAGAATAGGAAAGTCTATGGAGATAGCAAACAGATTACTGGTTGCTTAAAGTCAAAGAGTGGAAATAAAAAACAGTGTGCATAGAGGTGTCGTAATGAAAGTGATGGGCTTTTTTTCTTATGTGATAAATTTTTAAAATCAACTGGTGAGTGTACATATTTGTGTGTGTGTGTTTGGTTTTTTTTTTTTTTTTGGAAAAAGGTTCTCACTAACATAGTTCAGGCTGGTCTTAAACTCATTATGTAGCCCAGGCTGGCCTTGAACTTACGGAGATCCACCTGCCTTAGTCTCCCAAGTGCTGGGATTACAGGTGCCACCATGATTAGCCCAATGATTGCACATATTTGTGAATTTACCAAAACATCTTGAATGAATTGAGCTCACACTTAAATGTACACGTTAATGGGTCAAGTGTACAATATGGAAGGGCATGGGTGTGGCTCAGTAGTAAAGCACTTGCTCAGGATGTATGTGGGGACAGGGAGAGGCCAAACAAAAGGGAATGAAAGAGTAAAGTGCTTGGCACAGATCATGATAATGACTCCATGGGCAGAGGGGAGGGATAAATGCAGCCTCCTGCAGCTGAGGTATAAAAAAGATTGCCCCACCCTTACTCCAAGGGCCTTGCCCATGGCCAGTCCCACAGCAAGGCTCTCTTAAAGGTCCCATGTGCTGTTCCTGACTGCCTCACTTCCCAGAGAAGGTGTGACCTTCCCAGGGTTTGTCCTAGGGCAGCCCAACCTCTCCTGGGGTGCCTGGTACAAACTATTTCTGAAGCCTCTCCTAAGAGAAAGGGCTAAGAAGGCTCAGTCAGGGAGACAAGGATGGTGAGTCCGGTTAGGACCTGGGGCCCACCCAGGACAGAACCCCACCACCATTCTTCCTGGCCACCTGTGTTGGAAGAAGCTCTCCAAAGCTCGGCAAACCCCATAGCGCTCAGGAGGCGTGAGCAGGTGTTCCAGCTGCTGGCTGAACGTCCTTCCCTGGACCCGGATGCTGGATGGCAGGATCTCTGCCACCCACTGCAGCGAGGTGAGTGCCGAAGATGGGTTGGGGGAATCCAAAGAATCAGAGTCTGCTGGGACCAAAGATAGGAAGCATGATTGACCCAGAGCCCCTGACCAGGAGAAGTTTCCTTGGCAGCTGGGAATAGGATGGAGGGAGAGCCCTGGGCATCCCTGGGAAGAGAAGCTGAAGGTCTGGGGGAAAAGCCAGCACTCTGTAGACTCATAAATCTCATTACTGTGGGCATGGGAATCTCACCACTGGCAAATGGGACGAGTCCTTCCTCCACCACCAGTGTAGGCATCGCGCCACTACCCTGCAGCATGGACACCACCTTGTCATGGGAGCAGTTCCTGTCAGGCAGAAATGGTCCAGGAAGGCCTGATGGGTAAACCTTGTCCATGGCCACTAGCCAGGCTTCCCTGTCCCTGCTCATAGTGGCTACAAAGCAAGCTGGGCCAGATTAGCCAGGATCCTGCCTCTTTTGCTTGCTAATCTCTGTTCAGCAGAAGCCCCAGGCCTCAGCCTGCCTAGCCCTGCTGCTCTGGACTTCCTAGGCATAAAAGGAAGTATGCCTAGGTTATTTCCAGGCAGAGCTCCCCTCCCAGATCAAGATGTAGGTGGTCCCTTCCATTCTGTATCCCCAGCACAGAACTGAATATTTTCGGGGTGACCTGAGGTCATGGCCAGGTGGGAAGGGGTTGATTCAAGAGTTCCCAGTGGAAGAGGACAGATGTTGGGGGTCAAAGGGTCAGAGGAGTTTGTGATATTGATTTGGGTGTCCCGAGGGGCAAGAGTCCTAGGGGATAGTTTATCATCAAGCTCTGATGCTCCCAGTAGCCTCTGACCTCATGTCCAGTCCATTGAGGAAGAGGATCCGGTCACCTGACTTGAGGGCTGCATTGTCAGCTGGGCTGCCTGGAAGTGAAGAGAAAGGGTGTGTTGGTCAGCAGGGCAGGGCCATATGACAGTGTCCTGTGCTACAAGTGAGAAAGGACACTCAGCTAGGGATGGTAAAGGATTATACTCTAAGTACATCTTTCACGACCTGTTGGTCTCATCATGCCTGAGTAATAATAAAACCTCTATCTTTAAATTTGTGGGAGCATCTGGGTGTGATGGCACAGGCCTGTAATCCCAGAACACTGGGAGGGTAAGGGAGTAGGAGTGTTAGGTCAAGTCCAGCCTATGTGACTCAGTGACTTAGCGAGATTCTGTCACCAAAAACAAAAACAAATAATCAAACAAAACCCCCACACTGTAGCTCAGTATAAGATTTTGTGTTCACTCTCCAGTACCTCAAAGAAAACAAAATGAAAATAAAAATCAGGTCAGGTGTAGTGTCACACGCCTGTAATCCCAGCACTTGGGAGGCTGAGGCAGAAGGATTTGCCACAAGTTGGAGGCCAGTGTGGGCTACACAGTGAGTCCAAGGCCAGCCTGAACTACATAGCAAGAACCTGTTTCTAGGGGCTGGGGATTTAGCTCGGTGGCATAAGCGCCTGCCTTGCAAGTGAGTTCAATCCCAGGTACTGATTTAAAAAAAAAAAAAGACAAAAAAATTAAAAGCAAGAACCTGTCTCGAAAACTAAAACAAAACCAAATCACACAGGAACAGCTAATTTTCACTTTTTGACTTAGTCACCCTGGGAGGCTGGTAAATTGGCTTCTATAAATATATATATTTTTATTTTGCCTTTTTTATTGGTCTTTACACTAAATTTGACTTGGAAACATGTAGGGGAAATGACAAAAGGTTAAATATATACTCTCATATGGTGAAAGGTTCTCTCTTAGGCTATGGAGATTATCTGGAGAGGAACAGAACCATCAGGGAAGACTTCCTGTAGGAGGGTCACGGGAAATTTGTTCCTTGAGACTGCAAAGACAGAGAGGGTCATAGTGGTGGTTAACCCAAGAAAGCCTCCCTGGAAGTGTGCTGCAGTTCCTCGGGCCTTTTCCTGACACTACAGTCAACAGTTTAGTGAAAAGAACTGCAGCCTGCCAGTTATCAGCAGTTCATGTCAGAATGATCTAAAGGCTGGAACAATAGTGTAGAGGCACCATGGCTCTTTCCCATCTCACAGGGTATTGATGGGGATAGAGGTATCATGCTCAGGTTCTAGGAGAGATGGGTGCAGGACAGAGCAGGGGTCTCAGTCTTGTGAGGTGGTTGGTGACAAGGAGAGAGAGTCCAAGTCAGTGTCAGAAGTGGTGCCCCACTTTGACCTCCTGCAATGGAAATGAGCCCCCTCCCATTCTCCTGAAGGGGAAGGAAAGGATTCCCGCATGTGGAAGGCTCTGTTATCTTCAAGATGCCATGATTCCAGGTGCAAAAAGGAGTAAGCTGCCTGGGAGGAGACAGGGAATCCCGATTTGGGGAGCAAGGGCTGGAGGGTGCATGAGGCCCTGAGGCCCTGCCACCTCTCTAAGTCTGGTCTGCCATCAAGTGCCCAGGTCACAGTTGTCTTTCTGTGCAGGGCATGCTTTTTGGGGCCCAGCTCAGGCAGGCACCAGCTCTATTCTGGCTGCTCCAGTGCCTCAGGAAGTGCCCCCAGCTCTCCTAGTGGATAAAGGAAAGTCTGGATGCAGAACTTGGCTCACTTGTCTTGGAGTGACAGTGAACTTGGAGCCGAGATGCCAGGACTCAGACCTCTGGACTCAAGCATCTTGGTTAGGCGATTGATTTGGAGGAGAGGTTCTGGGACACTCAGAGAGCACAGATTACACGAAGTTGGTACCTGCTAGAGGGGGTGGGGCGTTGCTAAGCCGGGGTCTGCGTGGGGCAGAATTACTATGGAGTGCTACAAGGTGCCTTCACCTCGTCCTGAGCATTAGGAAATCTTAAAACAAACTGCCCAATCCTTACCAGGCAAAACAGACTCAATCCAGACAGGGCCGTGGCCACGCAGCGTGAAGCCAAAGCTCTTGTTGCCCTTATAGACTCGGACAGTCCTGGAAGAAAGGAGGTGTGAGGTGGGAGGCAGAAGAGTGGTTCCAGGATGCTGGGGATGTTGATGTCCCATAGTCTACGTTTTTAACTTCCTCTATTCCCCCAGATGTCCACCTCCCATTCCTTCTGCCCACTCCATCCCCAGCCCATGCAAAAAGGGCTTCAGTGTTCAGTGCCCGCGGGCCCCTGGTACCTGCGTGCGCCCCCGGGGTCGGCACGGCCACCCAGCAGGGAGGCAGCTTTGCGCGGGGGCGGCTCATCCGGGCGGCGCGGTGCGGCACTGGCACGCGTGGACACCAGGAGGCGCTCGGGCCGCTCCTCACTGCGGCTCCGGCGCAGCCTCTGCGCGCCCTGCGTCCGGCGGGCGCGGCACAGCTTGCCCAGCAGACCTTGGGACACCACCTCGTCGAAGCGCGCCCGGTGCTTCTTGGGGATAAAGATCCTGCAGGCGAGGACCGCAGAGTCGGGGCGCGTCCCCAGACTGCGTCCTGATTGCAGCCCAAAGTCGCCTTCTCACAGGGCGCCACTCCCCCCAAGGATGGCGGGGGAATCCTCAGCCGCCACTCCGTCTCCCATTCCGTGTCCGGATTTGCGTTTCCAACCATCTTGGGCCACACCAAGTTCGTGCGTCCCACTTGCTCCTCGTCAAGAAATCAGGATCATACTATCTTGTATTACTCTGGTCTCAGTGGGACCTCAGTGTTCCCAAAGCTAGTCCATGGGCTGGCTCTTTAGCCTCTGTCTTCCTCCACCAGCCTCTCCCTCACACTCCCTTTTCAGGCTTTGCCCCTTCCAGGCCAAGCTGCTGGCACTTCCTTGTCTGCCTGCCTGCTTCTCTAGCCAGCAGGGTCCACAGATGCATGCTGGGAATTTGCCAGAAATATGACATTGCCACCTTCAGTCCCACTGCTAAGCTTTTGCCAGATTGTTGCCCCTACCTCCTCCACTCTTTTTGCACCCTTAGCTAGGCAGGGCTGCCCTTGCAGACCCAGTACTCCCTTCAATTTCATCCCACATGCATTTAGTGAGCCAGGCGGTGGGGCTCAAAGCTAAAGGGCCTGTGGCTCCTCCTCTCTATAGAGTAGCCCTGAAAGTGGTGGGGGAAGGATGGCCGCCATGCAAGTTCACACCTTGGGATGGATCCTAGGGTCTCCTCTTTGGAGCAGAGAGCACTATGAAGGCTGGGTCTGCAGCTGGGCTGTGAGCCACAGTGCTAACTAACCAGGGCTTGGCACCTGGGAGGGACGCAGTACCCAGCACATCTGCCAGCAGTGAACTACATCTCTGCATAACAACAGCAGCTAACATCCTGGAGGACTTTGTGATCCATAGCAGAGGACTCTGAGGCACAGAGGGGATCCATAACCTTCCAGCATTGTACAGCTGGCTGGTCCCTGGTACAGCTGGAAAGATAGCCTAGCTTTCTGGGCTTCAGCTCTGTGCCGGGATTCTGACATTAGCAAAATCTCCCTGGCTGCATCCCAAGGCTCCCTTTTCTGTTTTTTGCAACAAAAGCCAGTGCCAAGGGCATGATGGGTAGGGAAGAGAGAGGAAAGCAATGGCCTTGTAGCAGGCTGAGGCACACCCCTCTCTGAGGCTGCTCTGTCGATCAGTGTACCCCCCACCCCATAGGTAGGATAAATAAGGCCAGGCAGGCAGGACAAGCTGCCTGGGGTGGAGGACATGTAGATCTTCCCATGGTATGGGAGGTATGGGAAGATCTTGGCCCTGCCCCCAAGCAAGGTCTGCTCCAGGTCTGATCACTCCAGGTGACCAGGAGACTAGAATGAATGACTTATTCAGCTGTGCCAGGAGTCCATCCCTGTCCACCCAAAGTGATTCCTGCAATCTGCAGTCTCAGCCTCTTTCCCCAGAGGGTCACTGAAGGTCTCTGGAGCCTGACATCTTCATCTGCCTGCTTTACACCTTCCCACATCCTCCCCGTCTGCCCACCTCATGCCTAGTAAAGGAGGGATGATGGGCCTAAGATTGTCTGTCCTATACTTGACCAGTTCTGCAAGGTGTCAACTCCATACAGCCAGCCTGAGTCCAGCCCAGGCAGAGTCTGGTGATCAAGCCTGCTCCAACCTCCAGCACCAAGTTGGTCACCAATTGCATAGGTAGAAAAAGGCCCATTCCCTGCTTGGCATCCTTGGGGTTGGGCCAGAAGCCAAGGCTGTCTGGTGAGCCAGATCCCATGCCTGGCTCCTGTGGATGCTCCATGCAGCTCAGCCTGGCTCAGTCACCCAGCTTGGGTCTGCTCCAAATTAGCTGATCCAGCAGAGCCAGGTGCAGTGGGGGTGAACTGACCATTGCAGACAGATCATTCACTGTCTCTCCAAATGCCACAGCCCAGCAATAGGTCTCTGAGACTTGTATGTCCCTCCTAGGCCAGGAGGCCTCTCTGAAGCCCCAGTACCCTTCCTGGGAGCTGCAAAATGACCTTGCACCCAGGGGCTCTCCTGGCATCCTCTCTCTCCATCACACTCCCTGGCCCTGTCCAGTTTTCTCTAACTTGACCTTGATGTCATCTAGACAACTTGTGGGGGTGTATGTAGTGGGAAGGTGCCCTGTGCCCTGATTCACCTGGGTAGCTTCAGGCTATCACAGCATCGGAGAGATGGTTCCTTCTAAACTCGGGAGAGGAGGACACTCTGGATTCTCACCTAGAACACCCGACCCCATCCTAATTCCTCTGCCCTGTCCTTTCATCCAGCATAGGAAGGGAAACGTTCTTTTCAATCTTAGCTCTTCCTTCCGACCCCCAACTCCTAAGGCTGCGCTCGAGTTCCCGGCACCCAACATTCAAACCTCACCGCCCTTGAACACACCCCATTTATTTCCAATCTCCCCGTAGCCCAGGCTCCGCCCAGGCTCTGTAGGTGCCCACCCAGAGCTGCGAAGCCCCTCTAAGCCCCCGCCCCCCTTTTCAGGATGGCCCGAGGTGAGTCCGTCGCGCCCAGGGCGCACAGTTTCTGGGAGAGTGAGATGGGGAAGCTACCTAAAGTGCCGAGAGAAGCCCTGGTCCTTCCCCATCTGGAGTCGGAACAGCGGTGCAGCAGGTGCCGAAGGGCCGGGGGTGGCCGAGCCGGCGAGCCGAGAGAGGGCACCGGGACTCCACGCGCCTCTGCCGGGCCAGCGCGCGCCGCCCCTCCCGAGCTGTCCCCGCCTTCGGCCCCGCCCCCTTCCGAGGCCCCGCCCCGTCCCTCTCCTTCACCAGGGGACCCTTAAACCAGCGCGCGGCTGACTTCGAAGGCAGGCAGTTCAGGCTAACAAGCTCTATCCTCTTGGCTCCCTCCTTTATTCCCTTCGAGAGCGCCTCACTTGCAACCTCTCCGGCTGGCCCCGCAGCGCTCCGGGCTCTCAATATTCGGCCACTGCGAAGACCGAGCAATTCAGAGGCACCCAACAGTTTAGACGACTCCCTGCCTGCCTTTCGCAGAGCATGGGAAGGCTTTCTGGAGGCGGTGGCCAACTCGCTGGGCCGCCAGGGCTCAGGAGGAGTTGGCCTGCAAGAACCCTCCTTACCTACCCAGGGGTAGCTCTGGTGAAGAGACTGGAGAGGGGGGCCTTGAAAGCCATGGTCAGCAGCTGAGATTGCATCCCAGAGCCACGGAGGTTGGGGGAGGGTTCATACTGGAGTTTATGGATTCAAGGGGAGGTGGTGGGCTTGTACCAAACCCGCCAAGGGAAGGGAGTGCTGGAGAGGCCACAGGGAAAGGGACAAGTGGCTAGAGTCTAATCCTAAAGAAGGGAGGTAGAGTCTGGGGCTAGAAGTGAGCAGGGGGCGGCCAGGCTGGGACCACTTCCAGATGAGTGGGAAGGGGCTGTCTGAAGGTCTCTCTATGACAAGCAGTGTCCTGCAGGGAGAGGAGAGGCAAGGAACAGCCAAGGAGGAAAGAGAGTGGCAGGAAGGGGTCTGGACTCCTCCCCAGCAGCTAGGCCTGCCACACACTGGAAGTCATAGAAGACACAGATGCCAATGCCTGGTTCTGCAAGTCCATTGCCACTGGTCCAGAATCCTGGCTGCTGAGAAAGGGTAGGATCTGAGATCCGGGAGCAAACAACGGATTTTGAGGAGCTAGTGTAAGATACTGGGGCAGGGGTTGGTCAAGGGCAGCCTCAATAGGGGACCTTAGCATGAGGATCCCTCTATAACAGGAGGCAGCAACCACACAGACAGGCCAGCACAGAGAGGGACTGAACTATGTCTCCCTTTGAAGATCCCCTCATGGGGCCGGTCCTAGGGTTCCTGTAGAGCTGATCATCAGACCATGCTGCTTACCACACTATACCTCAGCCCCCATTTCCTGGTCCCAGTGATACTATCCCCTTGCCATAACCTCCCTGGGCTACCTTTCTCCCTAGCAGCAGCAGGAGACCAGAGCCAGTGCCCCCTAATGTCATGTCTTCTTCACACTTTGTCTCTCAACCCTGTCAGGGAAAGAAATGTCTGACCATCCTCCCAGTGAGCATGGCTCCCTGACATCTGCAGGACCACAGCTGCAGTTCCACAGTTTCACCATGACAGAGCCATTTCTGGTTGCTTCATGCCAGCCAGCATTGGCCCAGAACCAGGCATGCCAAAGTCCATAGAAACTGTCCCCCATGCTCATCATTTGCAGAAAGACAAGCATGGTGCAAATGCTCATGCTGGAATTTAGACTCATTGCTTCAGGACTGGTCCTTATAGCACAGGAAAGGCCTCTGGTGGTGCCAGTAGCTGGACACATGACCCAAGATAGCATGGGATGGGTCAGATGACAGCAAAGCTGGACTTTCCTGATGCTTCTGCCTTCACCATAAAGCACTGCCAGAGAGTATTCCAGGGCAGTAGTTCTTAAGCAGAAGTGATTTTTTCCCCCCAGGGGACAGACAGTTGTCTAGAGACATTTTTGGCTGTCACAAGATAACAGCTAGGAGTAGAGTGTACTAGTGAGTAGAGGCCAGGCTGCTGCTACTAAAAGTCCTATAGGCACAGGGCCATTCCCAACAACAGAAAAATAATGGTTCAGAAATATGAATAGTGCCATGATTGAGAAATTTTCCCTTGGGAAAAAGAGATGCTTCTCCCTAAGGGAAACCAATGCTGATTGAGCCCATACTATGTGTCTGGTATTTCTACCCATACTGTCTCATAAAAGTCTCCTAATAACTCTTTATTTTGGTGTCCCTGACACTGTCACCAAAATAGAAGAGGCAAAGGGTACCAGAGGGCCCTGACACTCTACCTCCAGATTCTTAACCAATCTCTTTTCTGCTTACAGTTGGCAGAATTCATTTATATGGTTTCTGATGAGGAATCCTGCTGAGGACACATAAAGTTGGGGGGAGGCAGTATTGAGACGAGGTCTTGCTGTGTAGTTCAAGCTGACCTAGATCTCACTTACATAGTCCAAGTTGGCCTCAAACTCACTGCAATCCTCTTGCCGCAGCATCCCCAGTGCTGGGATCACAGGTGTGCACCATCACACCCAGCATGGAACAGGTAAGTTTGACTCGTCTTGTATTACAGACGAACTGTAAAGGTCAGTTAACCTGCTGAAGACTGTACTGTCAGTAAGGGGAGCCAGAGTTCCAGGTCTGTAAAAACTCCAAATTCCAGCTTCTTCACCACTTCAGCTACTTCCCTCCCACTCACCCCTCGACTGCCCTTTCTTACCCACTCCCGTTCCTCATATTCCCTGAAACTAGCTCACCACGAACTAGACTGCTTTCTTGCTCCCTCATGGCCACGTCACACTCTCCAAACTCCTGTCTTGCCCTAATTAGAGAGACATTGTACCACTTCATCAGCTTGGGTTCCCCTTGGGGACGGACCCAAATTAGACTCTGTATGGAGTGGCAGTGTTCACTGCTATTGTACAGGGAGATGATTCACGTATTTATTAGGTACTGGGATTGAACCCAGGGGTGCTCCTCCACTGAGCTACATCCCCAGCTCTTTTAAATTTTTATTTGGAGATGGCTTCTTGCTAAATTGCCCAGGCTGGCCTGGAACTTGTGAGCCTCCTGCCTCAGTTTCTCTCAGTGCTGAGTTTATGGGCATTGCTACCACACTCAGCTAAGATGACTCCTTTTGCTTATGTTGGACCCATCTTACCCTTTGCCTGAACAAAGGAGCCTGGGCATGTTCTTTGCCTGTACAGCCCAGACACTAAGTGGCTGTTACCATGTGTGGCCATTGAGTACCTGAAGTACTGCTTGTGAGGCTAAGCTGAACTCCCAACTTTATCAAATATTAATTCAATTTTAAGTAGCCACATGTGACAAGAGGCTACTGGTCCAGATAGTTCAGGACCATGGTCTCATGGTTCCTTCCTTGTGCTCCCACGGCTTTTGTTTTGGGCACTGGGGACCCTGCTTAGAGAGGCCATACCTCTCTGATTTGGGTGGGTCCAGCTTCCATGCACACATGCACATGCATGCACACATGTACACGCACACACATGACAATATATATATATATACATATATATATATATATTTATTTATTGGTACCGGGGATCGAACTCAAGACTGCCTGCTTGCAAAGCAGGTGCTTATGCCACTGAGCTAAATCCCCAGCCCCAGAAAATATATTTTTTCACCTCCCACCCTTTGGCTGCTCAACCTCTCCCCGAAGCCTCATCACTCCTTCATGTGGGGTCCTTGAAGACAGTGCCTCCTAGTGCCCCATCCCATCTTAAACTAAGCACTGTTGGGTTCCATGTGCCAGTGTGACACTGCCCTCACCATCTGTGCCTAGATATCTAGCCTGGACGAACTCCTTGGGGACTGTTCTACCCTCTCCACAGAGCACACTGCCCAACTCCTGGAGTCAAGGTCTGAGGCACAACACTGACACCTGCTACCTCCCCTGAGGAGTCTCTCTGGATTGCCCAGGGCTGAGCTGGCCATGGGCTGCCCCTTACCTGGCACTCAAGCCTCAGAATCACAGCAAGCTGTGGCCGTATCCCTTCCATGCCCAGTCCCAGCCCTGTCGGGAAGATGCGCACTTACAACCCCTACCGGGTCGGGTCGTTACAGCAAGGCTGCTAGCAACTAGCCAGGTTTCGGGAGGAGATATTCTGAAGTTAGGGGGTGGCTAAACCCTGCTGCCAGTGTAATTCTCTCCCTGTGGAGCCCAGCTGGGCACTGCCCCTCCTCTAGAAGCCTCCCGGATTTCCCTGTAGCACTTGGCATCCGCTAGTACACGAGCTGCTTCGCACATACACAGCCCCGCAGCACCCCAGGGATGCTGTGAGGCATCCGGCATCTTCAAGTGTCCTGGGTTCCCGCTTGCTTCCCAGAATCTAAATCGAGCACCCCCCTCCCCTGACCCACTGCCTGGCCACCGGTCGCTTGGGGAGGAGCAGCAGCCAGGAAAGGCAGCAGGGATTGAAGCCAGGCAGCACCAAGGGGGAATAACGGGGCCCAAGAGAGTTTCCAGCTGAGTCTGGGCAGCCGGCAGCTCAGAGACAAGCCTGCAAGGCGGGGCGGGGCCGGGGGCTGCTTTCCGTCACCTCCCAGGAAGCCCTCAGCGCCAAGCAGCATCTCCGCGGCAAATTCAGCTCTAGAAATAACTTTTTTTCCTGCCCTCGCTGGCTTTTCTCAGCGAGGGGCAGGCCCCTTACTCACCCCAGGCAGCTCATGGTGGCCTCTTTCGGTGGCCTCCTCTGCTCGGCTGCAGAGCCGAGACGCGCGGCCCGGCTGGTGGGGCAGAGGTGGGGGGGGGGTGGCCAGTCCTGTCCCTGACGTTGGCCAGGCCCAGAGGGAGGGAGGGGCAGGCTGTGGGATGAATGGCAGCGAGGGGAGGAAGAGGGCTGAGCCCGGGAAAGGGGAGCGCTGGGGCAATCGCAGGCAGGGGGCAAAAAAGGTCAGGCAGGATTGGAGAGGAGGAGTCTCTCCATCTTGTAGGAAGCTGAGCAGGCAGAAAGTGGGGTGCAGAGAGTTCTGGGTCACCTGAGGTCTTTCCAGGTGAAGATTTCGGGGAATTTAGTTTTTCCTTTGTGATAAACAAACTTAAAGGCTGAGCCTGAGGCTGAGCAGAAAGCATCCAGCTGACTGGCTTCATGGTCCTGTGACTGCTTCTAATTTGCTGTGTGACTTTGGAACAAGTCTCTGAACCTCACTGAGCCTCACTTTGGCTTAATAAAATGAGGTTATAGTGGCATTGGGAGATTCCATCCATCCAGAGAGAGTCCCTCTAGCTGATGAGGTCCTTTATCAACATCAAGAGTCAAAGATCAGACAGTAGGTGTTACCTGTGGGGGCGGGGTAGAAAATATAGTTCCCCACAGCACAGCCTAAGCTTCCTGTGGTCATACTGTACCTCGATAAAGAACTAGGAGTGCCTTGGCATCCTGTTGGGGATTTTCCCCAGTGGATCTGGGGCATATCAGCAGATGCATCCTCTCTGAGCCCTGTAGACGGCAGCCCCTGCCATCATCATGCAATGTGGTATCCTGGCAGCCTCCCTCTGGCTGCCCTTCAAGGTCCCTGGGTCACCTTTGCCCTAGGCTGAAGGTGTGTTGGGGCCAGTTTAAGATCAGACTTCTGTCTCCCAGCTGGGTTGGTCTGGTCTTGGGGTGGTGGTGAGAGAGAGGCCAGCCCTGAGGGAAACCCACCTGGCATGGCCATCCTGACCCAACGGAGGTACCTGAGGTTGTCCAGGAGTGGCCTGTGGGTCTCGTGGGGAAGCACCAGGGTGAGGGCCCACACCAGGTCATCCACCCGCTGTTCAGCTGCAAACTGCTTCAGCGCAGCAAACACCTGCTTCTTGGCAGCTGGCTGGTCCCCCAAGATTTCATCCACCTGCACAAAGGGACCCACAGAGGGACCATGGAGGATCATTCACCACCTTCTCTTTCTCCCTCAGTTTACCTACACAGGATCACTGACATGAGGAGTGCTTTGCCCCATCAATTCATTCCGAAGCTCACAGATGCCCTAGAGGTGAGCATGGTTGGTATCTTCATTTTACACGTAAGCAAACTAAGGAGGCAAAATGACTCCCAGGACAGAAATTTGTGGTGGGACAGTTCAAGGAATGAACATAGGTTACAAGGTTAGGGGAGCAGTATTCAAACCCAGAGGGAGCTATTCTAATGAATATTCTAAGGATCAAGGGAATCAGAAGAGCTTAAAAATGTGCCAGGCACTCACTAATTGCTAGTTACTATTATTATAATACTATGCTCTGTTCCTCGCATTGTTCGCTGAGAAAGCCCACAGAGAACACTCTGGCTTCATAAAAACGCATGTGTAGTCTTGAATTTTGATCATTTCTGTTCTCCTACTGGATTTTCATTTTCTTCCTTTTTTGTACACAAACAAGTGGACACTAAACAAGGCATGTATGCTCTAAAGAGTGGGCCTGCAGATGCACACACTGTTTCTGGAAAGTAGTGAAGTATTTCTAAAGCCTGTTTTTCCCCCAGGGTCTTTGCACTGAGCTACCTCATCCATCCATCTATCCATCCATCTATCTATCTACCTATCTATCATCTATCTATCCATCCTTTTATATCTATCTAATTAGAGACTGGGTCTCACTATGTAGTTCAGGCTGGCCTCAAATTTGTGGCAATCCTCCTGCCTTAGTCTCCCAAGAGTTGGGAGTACAGGTGTGTACAACATATCCGGTTTTATTTTTATTTTGAGACAGGGTCTTACTAAGTGTCTATGTTGCCAGCCTGGGCTAAAGCTTCTGGTCCTCCTACTTCAGCCTCCCAGAGTGCTGGAATGACATGCAGTCCTCCAAGCCTGGCTCTAAAGCATCTTCTTTTACCCAGTGACCTGTTGTCTAGGAATTTGTCCTAGTCATGTCCTGACAAGACAAAGGCACAATGAGGTATGATTGCAGAGGTTTGCCTCTGTAGTGTTTATAATACTTATTTGTTGGAAGAAATAAAAAATACTTGGCAATCTTATCTAAATAACTGCAGCACCTGGGGGATATTTGTAATCTTGGTTACAAGGATTGGTTATCCTTGGGGATATTTGTAATCTAGGTGAGAGAGAGAAAATCTTAAACCAAGCAAAAGACCAGATTCTGATGTACCTTTGGCCAGTTGGGAGACTCTAGCTAACCAGAGTCCAATTGAAGACCAGGACTTTGGCTTCTGAAGGAATGATACAGAAATGCAAAGGTCATTTAAGGCAGTGCCAGAGCCCTGCGGCACACTCTGAACAGATTTCTCCTGAAGAATGCTTTGGGACAGCAGTGTTCCTGCTTGGTAATCTATTCTTGGTTCTAAGTCTGAGGCTCTAGTACTGATTCTGTGAACCACAAATTCTTTTCCTGCCCAAGTCAGTGGAGTCAACTTTCATTATTTTGTAATCAAGTACACTCCAGATTATCAACATTGTATATCATGGATTCTAGGATGAACATTTTTTCACATTGGGATGTGTGTATGTATGTGTGTGTGTGTGTATGTGTGTGTGCACGCACGCGTGTGTGTGGTTGTTTTGAAACAGGGTCTCATTATGCTGTTCAGGTTCACATTGAGCTCACTTTGTAGCCCAAGCTGATTGCAAACTCACAATGATCTTTCTGCCTCAGCCTCTGGAGTGCTAGGATTACAGCACTGTAGAGAGCCGCCACACCTGGCTCATTTTTTCATATTCTAACATCTTTGATATCAGGATATGTCTTACTGCTGGTTACCATTCTTATGCATGAGTGTATTTGGTTGTAAGTGTTCATACTGTTACTTCTACTAAGTTATGTGCATTGCTAGTATTAAATATATCTAAGCGACAAGGCTTCCAAGAATTACTAAATTAAGTGTTAAGATGGGGATAAGAAAGAAAAAAAAATGAAGAAAGTAATAAGGAAGTGTGTATCATGGGCTAGTCAGGAGTGTTTTGTGTCTTAGTATTAAATAAACAACAGCCATCTTGAAATGGATGATGTTTTAGATTTGATGCACCATGGTTTCATTTGCTCAGTGAGAATGATGGAATGATGCTCTTAATCTTTATTTAAAACCATGACATGGGAGTGACAGCTAAGAGGTGCCAGGTTTCTTTCTAAGGGATTCATACTGTTCTAAAATTGATGGTAAAAAGTAAATAAATAATTGATCGTAGCTGGGCATGGTAGTGCATGCCTGTAATTCCAGCACTCAGAAGGCTGAGGCAGGAGGATCTTGAGTTTGAGCTCAGCCTGGGAAACTGATGAGACCTTGTCAAATAAATATTTATTTAAGTAGTTTGTCATCTTCACCTCTCTGTTTAGTTGACTCACTTCCATTTTCATTATCTGGAATTGCTTGTCCATTGATGTTTGTTTTCATTTTTTTAACTTTTTTTTAAAATTGGTAAGGGGATCTAACTCACTACTGCCTGCTTGCAAGGCAGGTGCTTATGCCGCTAAGCTAAATCCCCAGCCCCTGTTTTTGTTTTTTGAGACAGTGTCTTGCTTTGCAGTTCAGGCTGGCCTTGAACTCATGGTGATCTTCGTGCTTCAGCCTCCTGAGTGCTGAGATCACAGGTGTGTGTCACCACACCCATCTTCTTCACTGATTTTTCTATTTACTTCTTGTCTCTTTCCCACAGGACTCTGTAGGAGTCCAGGCTCCTTGTCCATCCTGTCAATCATTTTGGCTGGGGAAGAGCCATAGGTCACACACACCAGATCCCATGAATAAGATGGATGAAAACACACTGTCATCTTTTTATTTGACAGAAACTGCCACACATGACTCTGTTTTGGGAGCCAAGGACAGAGCCTGATCTTCCACCCTGAATGTGTTTTTGAACTTGAGAGCTGAATATCCCACTGCTTCCTAATTGGTCCTCTTGTGGGATGGAGGCAGGGTTAAGGCCAGGGCAGTGACCCCAGAGAGAATGAGTAAGCATTAGTAGGGGGATTTGGGACACTCCAAGCAGTGCCACTTTCCCTGAATGTCCGAGTCCTAGCCCATACAACATGTCACTGTCTGTCTCCCCACTGGATATGCTAGCCAGCTCTTTGATTCCTTTCCAGCCCCAAGCACAGGGCCTGGTGTGTGGTAGGCATCAATGCACATTTAGGGAACTGAATCAACGAGCAGCATGGAGCTGCATTTCCTGCAGGCCGCCAGCTGAGCCCTGCTGTGTTCTGGATGCAGCAGCAAGCACTCACTTTCCTGCCCTTGCTGTGCAGCCGAGGGTGGACAGTCTGCAATCAAAGTCAGCAGCAGCCTTGATTCAAAGGAGAACATGGCTAGCTGTAAAGACATTTTATATAAGAAAGAGGAAAAAATAGTTCCCCCTCCTGGGGCCTGTGCCACAGTGTGGTTTCGGTGTCAGTTATTACCTAGATGTTCTCAACCTACATCCAAGCATGAGGCACCATCACGGGGACACTAATGGCTTTTCTATTAAATATTAGCTACGTCAAGGAGGAAAAACTGGGGCAGGCTGAATGCTGGCAAGAACTGGGGGGCTGATCATTGAAAAGTAACAGGGGTCCTGCAGAGGCCCTTCACCTGCCAGAAGCAATCTTTTTTGGAGATGCATTTGGTTTTTAAGGATGCTTGGTGAGCCCTAACCAGAATCCTCCCTTCTCTTTCTCACTAGAAAATGCACCACAGCCAGCCTGACAGATTCTACCTTGCATGGCCCTGCTTCCTAGGCAGTTATGTCCTATAGAGAGCTCTAAATGTGTCACTTCTAACCCTGAAGAAATTACATGGTACTGGGGAGAGGACTTTATTTCCCTGGCAAGTTATGTAGGATTGTAGCAGACATTACAAATTCCCACCAACATTTCTAGTTCTCCCTCTCCCCAGATGCATGAAAGGCTAAATTTCCCCCCATTCTTGGGGAAGCAGCTGTGGGGTCAGTTCTGGCTACAGAGCATAGATAGGAGGGGCTATCCTATGAGCTGTAGCAAAATTATCCAAGTTGAGATGGGGGTCTGGAATGCTGAGACATCATAGGGATATCAGCCACTCTGGAAAGTCACCTGGACCTCTGGAGGACTTTGTGCAGGTAAAAAGCACACTTTTTAGGGCAAAGGCACTAAGGTGCTGATTTTGTTATAGCAGCAGGGCCTGTTCAGGGTACAGAGAGAAATTCACCTTTTCTTTTCAGTGATGGGAATTGAATCCAGGGTCTCTGAATGCCATGTACATGCTCTCCACCAAGCTAAATCCCCAGCACAGAAAGTCACAGAGTTTAAGGATCTAGACATTGGTGACACAGGGAAGCTTGAGGTGAGTTCTGCGTGTGTGTGAGGGAGTGTACACACCTGGTCACAAAGCCTAATCAAGGCCATGGCACTCAGAGGCCCAGGCAGGGCTTACTGCATGGTATGTGATGAAGGAAATGTTCCAAGGGGTCAGATTAAAAGAGTAAGGACTGGACTGAACTTGAGTATTGGAGGAGGCTGGGGTGGCACACAGCTGATACTTTGTGAGTGGGCCACAAAGTATCTGTAACAGCCAAACTCCAACAGGGCTTCCAGTCCTCTTGAGTCCCCAAACCCATGGCCAGGCCCTGCCACAGACAGGACTAAGTCCCTAAACTCAAATGTTCCATTCAGCAAGTAGTTTCCGGATTTGACATCCACATGGTGCCCAAGCCTCATACAGGGAGCGGAGCATCCAGACTCCAGATTCTTTCTTGGTCACACACAGGTTCCTCTTTGTTCTCCTGCAGCCTCAACCAAATGAAGATGAGCACACACACTTTTGAAAGTCTTGGAGGACAGGCCCATGAAGGTGCATGGCCTGCTATACTAAGACCTGGCCTATCTGTCCTTCACCGTTCCTTCCCAGCCCTGAGGCTCTAAACAATACCTCCTTCTATCTCTGTAATCACCTCTTGCTTCTGCCATGACTCAGGCCTTGGGCTCCTCTGGTGTCTCAGGTCTCTGCCATTCCAGGCTGCTGGGCTTCAGGATCTCCCTAAATTTCCACAAGTGACCTATCCAAGCCTGTTTGAGCCAAATTCTGGCAAGTAATATCTTTGGAAGGTTGTGGTACCCCTATGCTAGCCAGCTAGCCAACCAGACTGCTGTGCAAGGCAAGACTAGATTCTGGTTTTGTGGAAGCTTGGAACAGGTAGGCTCTTAAAAAAAAAAAATCACTAGCTGGGCATGGCTCATGCCTATAATCTCAGCACTCAGGAGGCTGGAGAATTGTTGCAAGTTTGAGACCAGCCTGGGCTGCAAAGTGAGCTTAAGGCCAGCCTGAACTGTTTAGTGAGGCCCTGTCTCAAAAAAAAAAAAAAAATCACTAATTTGTAATAGGAGAAATAAAAAGAAGGGTCCCCTATTTCTACACACAATGTAGATGGAAGTTAGCTACAACATTGAGCAATAGAAGCCAGACATTGAACAGTGCATGCTGAGTAATTCCATTCTATAAAGTTCATAAGCAGACAAAAATCATGGAGAGAGATAGATGTCAAAAGAGCAATTACTAGCTGGGTGTGCTGGTGCACACCTATATTGCCAGCATTCTGGCAAACTGAGTAGGAGGACGGCAAGTTTCTGCCCAGTCTGGGCAACTTAACAACTTAGTGAGATATTGCCTGAAAAAAATTTTTTAAATGGTAAGGATCTAGGTCAGTGCAAAGGTCTAGGTTCAATTCCCAGGATGAGGCAGGAGTTGGGAAAGGGTAGTGTGCTCTTGATAGGGAGCACAGAGAAAGGGGCATATGGGAACCTTCTGGGAAGAAGAAATTATGCTAGTCTACATTCTATTGTTATCTAAATTTTATTCTACATCTTGATTGGGATAGTGGTTACAATGGTGTAAGCCTGTATAAAATTTATTGGGCTGTCTGCATGTGTTCCTCCTGCATGCTAAGAAAATTCTTTACCACTGAGCTACAACTCCAGCATGACGTCCCCCGCTTTTATTAATTCCTTTTGATATAGGATTTCTTTATGTTTCTCAGGCTAGTCTCAAACGCCTGGGCTAATGTAATCTGCCTGTCTCCCCAGTATCTGGGACTATAGGCATCCCTATAGGCTATTTAATGCACTTTACTGTACTTTTGCAGTACTGCAACTAAAAAAAAAAAATCCCTATTGAACAAGTGAGCAAAACTTTCAAAATTAAGTGCAAGGCCCTTAAGCTTGACTATCATTTTAATTTTGTTAAGTCTGTCTTCAGAAATTTTCTCAGGTCCAGCAGTTGGGAGCATTGCATTCCTCACCTTGTCCCTACACCTGAGAGGCAAGTCCCCCACCCCACAACTCTAACCACGCCCCCTCTTGCCGCACCCCCGCTGGCATACCTTTCTGCTGAACTCCTGGGCCTTGTGCCTGCGCTCTCGGTGCACGGATTCGGGGCGCTTGCGGCCAGCCACGCGCAGGAGCTCGCGGCCCAGTGCCAGGCCGCGACCGGAACTCGCGGCTAGCAGTGCTGAGGTCAAGGCTGGGGGGCCGCCATCCGGGCCCGGGAGCACGCCGAGGCTGGGGGGCACGCGAGGGCAGCGCCGAGCCAGGCTCAAGAGACGCTCACGGCTCAGCCCGCCCACCGCCACCCCCTCCACCTCCACGATCTGGTCCCCCGGCCGCAGGCCCCCTGCGTGTGCGCTGCTCCCCTCGGCCACCTCCAGCACAAAGCAGGGACCGGAGCCACCCAGCCGGAACCCGAAATCTTCAGGCCATCCTTGGTTGGTGGCTGGCATGGGTGCGACTGGAGAGAATGAGAAACAGGGAATACTCTGTGGCTTGGCGTTCCGGACTGGCCTCCGGCCTTCACTTCGTCCTGCCTCCCCCCTCATCTGTGTGCTCTCCCTCTTCTACCTGTCTGTCTGTCTCCAAACTACAAGGAAGAATGGCCAAAAAGACGGAGCCTGAGAGGGGCAAGGGCGTGGGGCAGGCATCTGCTACACTCAGACCAGGAGGGCTCTGACCCCCAAGAAGTAGTGAGAGGGTGTGGAAATTGGAGGGGCTGTGACTGGGGCATGTGGCCAATCACCAAAGGACCCTTTAGGAAAAGGGACATAGGGGAGCTGGGGCTGCTGCCTCAGGGCCCCCAGGACACCAAGGGCACAGGTGGAGCTCTCTGAAGACATTTGTATGCATTGTCCTTCGCTCTGGACTTCATAAATTAAAATTTTCTTTCTTTGGCTTAAAAGACAAATGACCCATTTTTAAATCCTTCATTTGACTCCCTTGTTTTGTCTGCCGAGGCCACGCCTTGTCCTGGGAGCTGCTTTACTGTCTGGCTTCCACAGTACACTCAATATCCCTGGCTGTCTCTTTCTTCACTGTTCCCTCTCCTGTCGTCCCTCTTCTTAGCCTTCACCATCTGCCAAAGTCTCTCAGAGCCCTGCACAAATCATACACCTTTCTAGAGCCCCAACATGTTGGAACAGGATGAGGCCCCAGAAACCATATCAAGGGAAGAGGCTTTGCAAGCCTCCCCAGACTTCCCTGGAAATGGACACCAAAGATCCCTTACCCAAACCCCTCCTCTGCCCAGGGAATGGCACCTAATGCTAATAACACTGTATTTTACTTCCTATCTCAGACAAGACCTTGGGCCTCTGTCTAGAAGTCTGCTGTCCTGAGAATGGCCACTCAGGCCTCGTCTCTTGACAAGTAGGTTGGCTACCAGGCCAGCCTCCCTAGTTAGGTACTGGCCCTGGTGGGAAAGACCTGGCCATCACAGCTCCCAACTAGTCTCCCCAGGAGAGTTGTTTAGAGTCCTCTGAGGTGTGACATGTTGACCTGGGGGTAGAGAGGGTCTTTCTCTGGGCCCATTGCAAATTTGGGGTTACTGGCCACATTTTGCTTCTATATAGAGGATCAGTTCTTATAAGATCTGAACTCCTGGATCTGCTTGCCTGAACTTTACTGGTCTTCTGTAGTTTTTTTTTTTTTTTTTTTTTTTTCTTTTTGTCTTGATACTGGCAATCGAACTCAAAACCTCATACTTGCCAGACAGACACTTACACCACTGAGCTAAATCCCTGGTCTGTCTGCAGTGTGACAGAGGGCTGCTAGTGATTCAAGCTCACAAACCCTTTTTTTTTTTTTTTTTTTTTTGAGACAGGGTCTTGCTATGTAGTTCAGGCTAACCTTGAACTCACTATGTAGCCCATGCAGTCTTGAGTCCACATTGGTCCTCCTGCTTCAACCTCCCTAGTGCTGGGATCACAGGTGTGCGCCACCACATCCAGCTTTTTTTTTCCCTTTGACTTTTGGGTTTCATCCCATGCAACTGACGGGATAAGGAGAACCAAAAGAAAAACAAGTGAGTAGGATTTATGTGGCTGTGCTGTCTCCTTCTTTGCTCATTGCTGGTGGTGGCGTTGGGAGTTGCTTTTTGAGTTCAAGACCCTCCAGCTTCACCTCTTGGAGAAATAATAGCATACTTAATCTGTGCTCCTGGATCTAGGTGAGCTCAGGGGAGAGGGTGTCTGTCCTGCAAAAGAGCCCTGTTGTCTGGGCCGGTGAGGTGTCATGGGGAGGCAAAAATGAATCATTGTGGATAAATCGATCAGTGTGTTTCTGTCTATTTAGGGTAGGGCATTGTGGTTTGGGTAAAAACTGTCACCCAAAAGGCTCATGTTTTCAGATTAGGAGATGGTTAGATCATGCGGGACTGGCCTCATCAGTTAATTAATCCAGTGACAGGTTCATGGTTGAATGTGCTCTTTGGAGGTGTGGCCTGTTGGAGGAAGGAGATCACTGGGGGAGTGGCCTGGCCCTTTCCCTCCCTCTCTATTCTCCCACCTGTGCTCTGCTTCCTGGCTACCATGAAGTGAGCAGGCTTCCTCTGCCATTCCTTCTGCCGTGGTGTTCCTGCCTTGCAGCTAGCTGACCATGGACTGAAACTTCTGAAACTGTGAGCCAAAAATAAACGTCTCCTCATTACGTTTTTTGTCAGGTATGTCACAGCAATAAAAAACTGATATACAAGGATTCTTTATAGGAGACCATGGAGGGCCTATGCCATTATAGGCAGCTTGTGGTATGAACCCTTTCTGTTCTCAGAATGTCTGAGGTTCTCCTGGTACCAGTTTTGAGGAACCTTTGAGAAAAACTAGGTTTCAACCAGCTCTTGTTTTTCTCCTCTCTTTCTCTCTCTCTCTCTCTCTCTCTCTCTCTCTCTCTCTCTCTCTCTCTCTCTCTCTCTGTGTGTGTGTGTCTCTCTCCTCTCTCTCTCCCTCTCCCTGGAGATTGAACTGAAGGCCTTAGGCAATCACTCTACCACTAAGCTATATTCCAAGCCCCCTCTCTCCCTTTGAGACAAGGTCTTGCTGTATAGTTCAGGCTGGCCTTGAACTCACTATGTAGCCCAAGATTCCTTTGAATTCACAGCAATCCTCTTGCCTCAGCCTCTTGAATGCTGGGATATAGCATATGTCACCACACTGAGCCCCAGCTTTTAAATTTTGAGACAGAGTCTCACTAAATTATCCAGGCTGGTGTGAGAATTTGCACTCCCTGCCTCAGCCTCCTGAGTAGCTGGGATTACACTAATGTGTTACCATTCCTGACTACAGCTGGGTTTTGAAGGCCCTGGACTCAGATGCCCCTCAGTCCTTTACAGATGCTTGAAAACTTGTCAGTGGGAGTCATTCTCCCAGACGTTCCCTTACCCAGGGAGCAGCCTTTCCCCAGGAGGCCTGGGGAACACTTCTTGGAAACTGGGAGTCGGAGGAGGGAAGGGGGCCCACGGCTCCAGCAACGTGATGAACCAGGGTAATGTCCTTGGGTGACATCCAGTGAAAGCCTGTTCTACTTGGCCACCAGCAGGTGTGGTGTGAGAACTCACTGCATGAAAACTGTGGGGTAGAGAATTCATCATCACCTGAGGCTCTGGGGATCAGTCCTGATCCTCATTCTCACCTGCCAAGTTGTGATGCTGGCCACTGAGGAAGGAACCTCAGGGTCACTTCCTGCCAAAACACTGGGCTCCTGTGGTCCACTGGGTACAGGTGGGGTTATCACCTGTAGGGCTACTACCACATTTAGGGGAGCCTGAGGTCCATTTTGAAGGGAACATGGGGCAATTGACACAGGTCTCTCCAAGTAGTCTGGAATGGCATTGAACACTTGAGCCTCCTGCCTCAACCTGCCAAGCAGCTGGGATTGCAGACATGTGCCATCATACCTGGTTTTGAGATCAGATCTTGCACTATGACAGAACATAAACCTGCATGAATCATACCCTTCCACAAGTGCAGAATGTTGGAGCAGGAAGAAGACCTAGAGTCTATTTATATCCTGGAAGGGAAGTTCATAAACCTCTTGAGACCAAGTTAGGTGGGTTCTAAACCAAGGTCACTTCTCCAGCAAATGAAAGAACCAGTCTACCTTCAAAGTTAGTGCCATGCTGATTTGCTACTGTCCATCTCATGTGAAACTTCTGCTCAGATGATTGATAAAGAAGGGCTAATGTGAGCTGGGCATGGTAGTGCTGTAATCCCAGCATTCCAGGAGGTAGAGACAGGAGGACTGAAAATTTAAACCCAGACTGGGCATTTAGTGACTTAATATCCTACCTGTTTTAGAATAAACGAAAAGGGCTGGGCACACAGCTCAGTGTGAAGGCCCTGATTTCAACCCCCAGTACCACAAAAAAGGGGTCAATGGCTGGGATCCACTTTGGGCTGGGACCCACAATCCCCTCCACCCATGTACATATTCTGAGCTACACACCTAGACAAGGGTAACAAGGTGTCAGAAGCCAGAGCAGGCATCCTCTAACACTTATATCCAACCTGGGGAGCCCAATGGGCTGAGGAGACTGGCAGCATTCAGACCCCTATGCCTTCTGAGCCAGCCCAAGCCCTCCAAAGTGTCCCACAGACCCGTCTCGCCACTCTGAACACCCAGGCTGGCCTTTCCCTCTGCACCTGCCCCTGGACTAGCTCACAGCATAAGCGGAGGCATCTCAAGGCCACATCCCAGGTTACTGGATACTGTACTGTTCCCCACATTTGCTTACCTTCTACACCGATGACTGCAGTGATCGCAGAGGACAAGGCACAGCGTTCTTGGGACACTCACTTGCTGCTAACCCTCTGCTGCTCAGGGCCTTGGCATCGGTTACTGATGCGCCTGAGGGGACAGCTGGAGTTTCTAAGGCAAAGTGATCCTCTGGGTAACCTGAGCAGGTCCCCCGTGACCAGGCAGACCAGCAGGAAGGCTGGTCACCTTGGCTAGGACCCAGGTGGGCTGGCCCCTGCTACATGGCTTAGGGGGACAAGCAACAGTACTTAGGTAGAAGTAGAGGCTTGGGCTTGTCCACTTTGGAGGTTACAGGGCTGGATAGTGGATTGGGAGGATTCAACTGGGTCATTTGGGGAAGGACAGTGTCAGTTCAGTGGGACAGGTGATTGTCAAGGGGACTGGTGAGACCTCTGGGTCATAGAATCCAGTTCTCATAGAGAATATCACAGCGAGAGCAACACAGGCTGGGTTTATTGATGAGAGAAGGAAAGATCTATATAGAAAACGCAATTTGGGTAGGAAAAGGTCCTGACCTACATCATTTTGCAAGGCAGGTGCTTATGCCGCTGAGCTAAATCCCCAGCCCCGACCTACATCATTTTGGACATGAGTGTAGTCTATAAAACTATAGGCAAAGCGAATAGTGGTTGGTAAAATAGTCTCCCACAGGGGCTCAGGCTAATGCCAAAATCACACCATATGTGCAGCCTGGAATCAA